TTAAATCCCGCGATGGAGTATTGTTTCGTATGCTTTTATCGCGTTGAAGCGAAGGATACGCTCCTCTATTGTTGCTGTCAAATATTTTATCCCATCTCTAATTTTTTATTTCGCAATCCAAAGAATTTTTCGTTGCATCGAATATTTTCTGGGGAGAGGTTTCTTTTTTAAAATTATTCATCGATTGTTAGGATAATAATTTCTTTTTTTGTCTATTTTTTATCATTCGAATTTTAATCTTCGATTGAAATATTAAGAGAGATGTTGCGCAGCTTGGAAAAGTTAGAGAGAGAAATTTTCTACGATGAAGCACGATCTGGCGCGAACTCTTAATCAATTGCTAATTTCTCGAACGAAAACTTTCGAAATTACATCTATATATTCTATCGTAATTATGTTTTAAAGCGATGCAAGAACGTTTCAACGTAATTAAACCAAAAGTAAAAAGCTACACCGTGTTAATCGTTTCTTTGTTCGTGGAAAATTTTACCTCTAATTTCTCATTTTCCAACTTAACTTTGGAAAGATATCTCATTCAAAATTATATTAAATCAATAGAAAAGTAATATTGGTTTTTCGAATGGTTTTACGAAAAACTTTTATTCCATTTTTCAAAATAATTCTGTATTTTCTAATATTCTTTGAATCCCTGTTTTATAATATACTAATTAATTATTCATTTCCCATATAAAATGAGAAAAATTTTGAGTTAATTAACTGAGAAAATAATTTCCTTTTTGTAAGATACAAACGAATAAATAAAGAATTAGGAAAAGGTAGAAATTATAAACACGCATATCCAGATAATAAAAATACAAGTATATAAGAATTTTAATATCAATTTATTAATACAATTTAAAAAAATCATAATGTGACAAACACTTTCATCACATTTTTTTCCGCCCCCAATTATTTCTATTACCTTTTAATTTTCCAAGTATCGACGATATTAACACTGTCTAATTATACACACATTCTTTAAAGCTCATTCTTAAGTTTAAGCTTTAAAATTTAAAAATGGAACAGATTCACCCTTAAAGTCTACACCCTCGTCACAAAAATGACGTCGCACCTCGACCATTACCGGCAAACACGGATCCAAACTGTTCTTCGTCTTGTAGATCTTCAATCGTACCTTGTACTTCTGACTCTTCCACTCACCGTTCGATTTGTAATTCTCGTTTCTCTTCCGTCGAATCAAATGGCCGTCCATCGATTTCGTGTCACCTTGTTGCTGCAACCTGCTCTCGCAGGCGCTTTGATTTTTATTTGTTTTACGAGGTTTTTTATAAACGTCGATCTTAGAATCGACACTTTTGTCTATTGTCGAGAATTGATAACGAGAATTGGGCTTCTTATTCCTCTCCTTCAAAGAAATTGCGCGTTTCTTGCACATAGGAGATCTGCAACTGTCCTCGTCTATATGTATAATTTTCGGCACCCTCTTCACCTCGTCCGATTTTCTTTTCAAAGAAGTTTTCGTCTTTTTCTTGTATTCCTCGTAAGGGATATATTCAATGGTAGTCGGTTTGATGGCTGGTTTGTACTTGTTGTAACTCGGCTTCTTCTTCATCTTTTCGGACCAGTGGGAGGACGGCGGCGGTGGTGGATCAGGCTTTATGTCCTCGTACGACGCATTCATTTTAGGGATGTATTTCGGCTTGTTGTGGGAAGAAGGATTTCTGGGAATTTTATTCTCACTTTTGTCACTTCTTTTGAACAGATACGACTTAAGCGAGTCGGAGCTGTGCTTCTTTATGCAAGACACGAGGAATTCCATTTTGGATTTAACTTTCGACATCTCGTTCGTCGTGAAATTATTAGTTGAATTGCTGATCGATGTTTTTTGATTGCTAGTTGAATCATCGGTAGATGATGTTTTTGGATTGCTGCTGCTGGTTGGATTTTTTTTTTTCGAATGAATCTCCGGATTCCGATCGCATTTCAAGAATTCAACTTGATCCTCTTGCTTCGTCATTTTCTGACTCTCGTCCTTTATTAGTTTTTCAGGCTCCTTGCACTTTTGGACATCGTGCTCCAAGATCTTTTGACAATCCTTTCGAGCATCTTTGCACTTCTCCGCCTTTTTGTGACGCTTTTCTATCAGGCGAATACATTTCTCGTTTATAAGTTGTGCTTGCTCGCAATTATCAACCGATTCTTCAACCGAACATTTTTGGACATTATTCGAGGAAATTTTCTCCTTCTCTTGATTAGTTTTAGAGGATTTATTCTTGGGACTCTTTTTCACGAGTTTGAAAGGGATCTTTTTCCCGGATTTTTCATCATTTCGTTTCTCGCATTTTTCTATGATCTGTTTGTAATATTTCTCGTAGCCATCTTTGACGAGTTTGAAATTCGAAAAGTTCCTCTTCGAGTAATTGTTGATCGCTAACGGTTTCGTTAACGTTAAACGTTTCAGGTGAATGGGAAACCTTCTATTCAAAATATAAGTGGAGACTTGTTGCCTGATGAAATTGAAATTTTGATAGTTGACAGTCGATGGTCTGTTCAAGATCGAATCTTTTTCAAAAGCATTCTCCAATTTGTCGAATATTTTTATAAATTTTTTATTCGGTGACAAATAGATTCCTTCTTGTAACTTATAAAATGGAGAAAATTGTAGGATTTTATTAAAAATATATTCCAAGTATTTTGTTTTGTCAAATTGTGTACATTTTTGATATATTATGTTTATTCTCGGTATCGACGATTGTACTTTCGAAGATACCTGCCAATTGTAATTAAAAATATCGATAAAATTAAGATCTAAAGATAAGAATATGTTGTATGATTAGGAAAATTATTATTATTTTTTCTTTTTGTAGTAATTGAATGATTCAAAAAAAAGAAAGATAAAGTTTATAAACAATTGTGAAAACAAACAAGCATTTCATTCACAGAATTATATTTCAACTTTCTTGTGTTTCTATTGTGTATTTTTAAACTGTGCTGTAAAATAATTTTAAATATTGTAAGTTGAAACATAATATGAAACTGATGAATGCAATGGAAATATGTAATATAATATGTATAATATGTATAATAGTGAAAATTTCTTTTTTCTTAGAATTTCTTCAAAGATAAGATCAGAAAGTTAAAAGATAAATTTGTGGTTCTTATATTGTCTTGTATGATTAATTACTTATAAAAGAATTTTATACTTTTCTTCTTCAAAAGAAAAACAAAATTTTTATTCTATTTCTTACTTTTGTATATTCAATATTTCTATAGAATTCAATAGAAATATTGAATAAGTACTTCAAGTGTGCAAGAAAGAAAAAGAGCTTGTCTTTATCGATATATATATATATATATTTGTATCTTTAATAATTATATATATATAATTATATATATAAAAATATATATATTATTATTAATGATTCATTATTTTAAAAAATATTTTATAACAACATAAAGTGCTTCATTGAAAATATTACAAGACAATATGTTTGATCATTTTCAAGATATTTGCAATGAATATTTCCAA